GAGGAGGGGAGGTAGCGGGTGGGACGGCGTGTGCGTATGTGTGTCTAGGGAGTGATGCTGCCTGCTGACCTGGTCATCCATTAGACAGGGTCCATCCATCCAGCCCCCAACACACACCGCCACCTCCTCCACCCCCCCCCACCCGAGGCCCATCATTGCGGCTTTCTGCCAAGCCTGGAATCTCCACATTAATTTCTCATCTGTGGCGCCCTAATGAGCTCCGCCTGCTCGTCCACCTCTGAGACCTCAGTGATTATCAGACAGGGGGGTGACCATTTGTCAATGGCAAGAGGTGGCATTTACACTGCTGACCTTGCTGCCAAGGAGAGCGGAATCAAAATTAGCGGAGCGAAGAACAGAAAAGCCATCAGAAGCTCTGGAGAGCAGCCGCCGCGCGCAAACACGATCCGCTCAAGGATGCTGTCCAAACCTCCGTCTGTCTTTTGTTGCTGCTCCTTTTGGTGAAAACTGCTAAACTTGTATTTGCACATTCACACAAACTTGATAACTGAAATGTAAAAGCAGAATAATCCTATCGTGCTTTTGCGGCGGTGAGCGGAGGCCCTCGGTTTGCTGCAACACAGAGCGGTGGGCGGTGCGCACCCCTCGGTGGGAGCAGGGATTTGCCGGTTATTGGATGGAGGGGAGCGGTGTAGGTCTGTGACACCCGCTAACCTTGGCCAGTGCTGCTGGGACTTGGAGGGTATCCATCACCGTGGCAGCCCCGAGACCCAGAGCGGGGGGAAAAGCCACAGAAGTTGCCGGGGGAGGGAAAAAAGCTAGTAAAAATTTAATGCACTCCGCAGAGCAGTCATGTCATACTTGGTTATGGAAAATAATCCCAGATGCCTGCAGTGCTAAAATGGAGCTGTAATGTGCTCGCCTCCTAACCCGGCCTGACAGCCATGATGTACGACTACCATTACCGGAAAATATCACTTCAACTAACCCGTGATCCGGCTCCGCTAAGGGTCATATTATCCATGAGGAACAAATTACACTCCCCCAAAGTAAATACAAATTTCCTACACTGACTGGGTACAAAGCACAGAGCGGGGAGGGGGCAGGCGGGAATGTTACCTATGACAACGCTCTGCAGAGTGACAAGGATGATAAAGTACATGACAAATCACTGGCTGACAGGGTACTCTAGTGCAATCAGCCTCAGCCTCGGCCTAGCGAGCACCCACTCAAGCCTGTAAACACTACTCTCTTCCTTTGGAGGGGGCAAAACACATAATCTTTTAACGCTGACAAGTTGCTCTCTCCTTTTTATTACTCATCCTTCCCACTGCGGCGGAAGAGGAAGGGTTTGGGGTGAGGCTGTGTGGGGGGATGGAAGATATAAAACGGTTTTATGTACAGTGCTGCTGAGTGATTGAGAAACACGACTCTTCTGCTATAATTGCCCGAGGGCAAACACAGCAAAACAATAAAGGAGAAACAGCAAATATATTACTGGTTCAGATCTTTATTTTATGTCAAGGACAAACAGGTTCCTGCTTGGATCCCTTGCCTCCAATAAGAGCAAAGCACAGCGAATTACAGCACTCTGCTGCGCGGCCGTTAATAAGACGCAGAACATTTTCAGAATGGCATTTACAGCTTGTGGCTACTGATAGAGCGAGTAAATAACACTTAGGAAGGTGTGGTCTATAAAAAAGGCCGGAGGCAAGAGGAATAAAAGCTACGCGGTGATAAAGTTGTGCAGATTACAGTATAGACGCATTGTCTTCGCTGAGGGCCTAAGTGCATGATTGGGGAACAGGAGCACTTGAGCATTAGCGCACATCGGTGCGAAAATGTTTGACGGGCAGTTTCAAGGTGCCACTTAGGAAGTAAGAAGGAAAAAAATCACTTAAGCATTCGTGAGTCCAGACAGAACCGGAGCCTCTCGACTATATCACAAAGATCCAAGACGAGGTGGAGAAATCTACCACTGCTAGATTAAACGTTGAGGGAATGTTTCCGTTTGAAAATAAATGAGGCAGGCTGCACTTACACTGATAAAAAATCCACATTATTATTAATATATTTAAAGTGTGTGGACCTGTCAGAGGCTCCTAAAAGACTTCACTGCTTATGGACCTTTGGAGGATGAGCGATACCTGATACTACAGAGCTCAGCGAAGTGGAAATGAGCTGTTCTCCACGAGTCCAGGCCCGTGTGACCGCCTGATCCTGTTCGGACACCTCGATTCTGCACCTTGGAGCAAAGGAGGAGCCGAGCCATGACAGACGGTAAACAAGATCATTATTCAGGAAGAACGGCTCACTTACCCCCACGCATAGTTTCAGCCCCCCCAAAAACTGCCCTCTGAAGGGACAGTTTCATGCACACCGGCTGCTGGGAAAGAGATGCTAACAGTACGAATACAGGGCTAATAATACCAGTGTTGTGCGGCGAGTGACTGCTGATAGGCGTCCTCCTACCTGTCTCCCAGCATGCCATTAACATGTCACGCTGCAGAAGGCCCCGTCCTACGGGTCACTTTGTAATGAGCAAATGCTCTGACAGTTTCCAGCACACGCAGAGACACACTCGCACAGCGACACGGGATCGCGTGCACACGGAGAGCTGTCTCTTATCAGAGCCCGGCAGCTCCACGGCAGAGGCCTTCTACGCCAGGCAGAACATGATTTCTCCTGGGAACACTTTTTCCATTTCCTGCTTTTGAAGGGAAACGAAATAAGCCACGTTTGTCCTCATCTGAATACATTTGACCCATTAAAATGACTCTGCTCTGCTGCGGCGTTGCAAAGGAGACCGCCACGCTCACAGAATGCAAATGACAGCAGCGGCACTGGGCGTAGCGTGCGAGGCTCCTGGCAGCAGCAGATAGTGGCAGGTGACGTGGACTAAGGAGGGCCGTTGAGTGGGAGCTCCAATTACTCCTTACGTTGAAGAAGAACGCGTGAGTCAGCCCTGTCATAGGGGTCCCCGTTTACTAATTCACTCCTCTGTTACTTTAACACACAATTAATCAATGACAGGAAGGTGTAGTCGGTGCTGTTCATCAGGAGCGTAACGTGAGCCAGGGTGAATTAATACAGTCACTGGGGGGATTACCGTGCTCTCGCTCTCTTCCTGAAACAAGAAGGAATTGCCACCGAGACAAGAGCAATTTAAATCGACAACACTGAGTAATGACTCAATTTGCTGCAGAGTCTAAACACTACAAGCAAATGGCATTACTAAATCATTAGAGCACATCTAGCTCTCTGGTTAGAATTCAGTGGCTATGGCTGCCTTTACAATCTAAAGTACGCTCAAACTGAGACCTGGATTTTAAAGTGCTTTACAACCAGGATAGCAACAAACGTTTAGACGCTTACAGGTGCTTTTATTTTACCCAACCGTGACCATCCTCATCATTGCATCACCACATGAAAGAAAAACAAGAACGCTGCACGGGCGATGCACGTTTACGCAACGATGTCCAGCGTCTCGTTTGAGGATTCGATCGTGGCTCCTCAGAGCGCTCCAAAAGTAATCGCCGTGACTCGAGCTCACCTCGGGGACATTTTAAAGACAGAGCGCGAGCCTCTCGTACCCGCCCCTTACACAGCTGAGAGGATGATGCATTTCCTCGGAGGTCCTTTACCTTCTAACCAACAAAAATGTCCTCCCGCTCAGTCACCTTTAGCTTTCGGACCTCACACAGAGAGCAGAAGCTCTACCACTGAATCAGATCTGAATCTCTTTCCAACCACATACTCGTCACTTCAACCATACAAACCTCTGGATGCCGTTCATTTGATTCCTCAGGTTCTGACACTGATGATGACTCCTTTTAGGCTTCTTCTTCTTCTTCTCTCTGGATGTTGAAAAGCTGCTTTTCAGCGTTTGTTTGCAAAATAGGTTAAGAAGCTCGCAGCACCTCTTTGGACGGGGCCAAGAACTCCACGTGTAACTGATCTGATGGACATCATTGACCTCAAAACAACGCCTCTATATTCTTACTTACAGCCATAAACGGGCACATTAGCTTCTTTACTTGTGTAACCTTTAAACGTTTGCCAACATCTGTTATGATTTCTTTTCTTCTCTGAAATTACAGGGTGCCCAGTACTTGCTCTAGGACACGAGAACACCAAAGCTTAATCACTTTTTCTCCCAGCAGAAAAAATGTATATGAAAAGTTGCTATTCCTGCATCTGGAGTCATTTAGCACTACAGTTTATAGTTTTTGCAACCTTGTAATTGTGTATTTTCCCAGTACAGTCAGTTTAATTTAACCCAAAAACCACTAAAGTAAAAAATAATGAAAGCAAATGAATACATTTAAGAAAAACTGAGGTTGTACACAACTCAGCATCATCAGCTTTCCCACCATGGCCCATGACTTATGTTCTATAACCTGTTGAAGTCCATGATATTCACATAACTCACATTATTTTGGCTTTTTCCCTGAAACACTTCCGGACTTTGTTAAATCTGTAGAGCCTGTTTGCTGCTAATCACTGCTGTGTGTTTCGTTGCTGCTGTAACAATGTAACTGCAACAAAAGTGCCAAAACTGACGCAATGAAGCTCCAACACAGGAAGACGCTATAGATCCTGGCAGGAGGTGGTTTTGCTGGGATTACAGAAACAGAACTACAGTGAAGACAAATGCAGGAGCAAAAAGAGCGCGTCACAGAAACAGACGGGCAGACACCGGCATATAGGTGGATGCATAGATACAGAAATAGACGCCGTGCTGCAGACACGCTCGTCTGTGCTTTAAGTAACAGAAAGCCTGGCTGCCGGAGCAGTCTCATTTAAATGTCATTGAAATCCTAAAAAGCCAGAACAGTTCAATTTAGATTTTGCACATCATTAAGTCATTCATAATTAATGCGCAACTAATTAAGGTTTTGTCATACTTATTAACAGGATGTTTAATTCTAATTACATTCAATTCTCAGTCTTAAAGTAACATTTGGATCTTTTTAAAACACTGATAAAAGACGCTCGAAGGGATCCAAGCACATTCAGCCCAATGTGAAAAATCTTACCTTGCCGTCCTGGTCACTCTCAGTGTCGCACTGCGAGAGAAGGAAAGAGAAAGCTCAAATTAGGAATAAGATGTCCAGTTTGTGGGTTTTAAACAGTTTGCATTCAATCCCAGTGCGTGTGGTCACCATAATCTCATTCATCTTATCAACTTTTTAATGACAAATTTATCACATAACTTGTATTCTGGACCTGGGTATCATCAGATCAGTTCATTAGCTGATCCAAGCAGCAGAATGTGAAATAAAGTGAATTTCTCATGAGCGCCCGTGCCCTTGTTAACACTGGGCACCATGTAAAATTCAGACAGAGCTGGAATCTCCGAACTCTAATCGCCACTGGAATTCTAATAGCATGATGTTGTTGCTGCTTCAGGCTGGGGATGGCAGATTGACACGAGGAGGAAGGGAACTTGGTAATGGTGGGAGGAAAAAGGGGGCTAGATTTCAATTTTTTGTTCCAATTTCAATTTCAAGGTCCACTTAATTCTTTATCAACTAATTAGCGTGATGCTGGGTGAATGGCGGCCCTCGTAGTTGTGCATATGGCTGAGGTGCAGGGAAGCACTGGAGTCAGTAATGAAAAAGGCACTGGGGGGGAATACGGGCAGGGGCTGGTACAGCGTGTGGGCAGGAGCGCGAGGAGGGGTTGGTGGGTGACGATTAAAGTATGGCAAGAGTGAAGGGGGGGGGGATGATTGACGGCCCACGGAGTGAGCGACAGAAGGCCGTGTCATTTCTTCCTTCCATCTCGTGCTCTTTTTTTTTTGCCGATCTGGGCCCTGCAGAGCTCAAAGGTAGCTGGCTGGGTTTGTGGCTGATCTGCTTCTCGGGCTGGATGGTAAAAAGGGGGCTTGCGAGCTCAGCAGGAGCATAGCATCCAATTTACAGGCCTGTCCCGCACAGCCCAAGGGGCTGCCTGCGGCACACTGCCATGATGGTCAGCTCCAGCAGCTCATAAATTATGCAGAGGCAATAAACGCACTGGGCAAACACTCCTCAGACGTTCCCTGCTCCATTTCGCTCTCACTCCTTCTCCGCCATACATTCCAACCCCGTTTTAAGACAGCGCGCAGGAGCCCTGATAACAAATAAAGATAACGACAGACGACGGCAGATCACGATCACGCGCGGGTGTCTGTGTAATATTAAAAGCTCCAAACTGCGTGCATTTATGCATCTCTTCCAGCTCCTGAGTAAATAGGCGTGTCTGCCTGCATCGCTCTCTCGTGGCCTCCCACACAGACTAACGCCGCAGACGAGATCAACGGCGTTCAGGCTTTTGAGAATGTAGCAACAGCGATGCGACCGAGCACTCATTAGCCGCTTCTCTGTCTGTGCACGACGCAAGCAAGCGAGGGGTTCAAATAATTGACATAATTTCAGTTTTCTGCATTGTGTTGTGATCCACGAAAAAAAGGAGTCTAGCCTTTCTTCCCCGTGTTCCCTTTTTGTTCTTATTTTGCTCTCCCTGCTTCCCCCGCTCCTCGGCTGTGCAGCCAATTGCTTTGATTGCCAAGATAGAAGCCGGCTGGAATGACTTGCCCTTGCTTGTGAAGCAAATGGAACATGCTAATGGAACTCATCGTATTACCCGATGCAAAAGTGCCATAGCTCATTACTTTAAGATAAAGGGATATCATTGTAGACGGCAAGCAGAATTGACTTTCTGTGCTGCGACTTGATGATGATTTAATCAACTGCTCTCTTTCACTTCTCATCCCCGAGCCTGTCGCTTTCGCAGGTGCCGCTAAACGAAGCACTCACACGGCTAGTGGGGGAGAGAAAAGAAAAGAAATTGCTGTCATTACTTCCCCCCCCCCTAGGAATAGAGGTATGCAAATTTCCCAAAGCGACAAAGGGTGGGGGGTGGAAAAGGTGGGAAACTTAATAAAATGGAAATGCCTTTATAATGAGCAAAGTAAAAAAGCCTAAGATCAGGCCTGACAGCCGAGAGCAGGCGATCTGAACGTCCACGACGCCAAAGCTCCCGTGAACTCTGTGTTCGAGCTCGGGCAGGAAGTAGTAAATAATAATATCTCGAGAAGGATAAAAAACAGGTTTGAGGCAGAGCTGTCACTCACTGAGAAGTGATCATAGTGAACGAATGTTTCGCTTCATGCACAACCCGGGGTGGGGAAAAGTCTGAGTACCTGATCAGGAGCCGAGGTCTGCACTTCACAGCTGGAAGTGTCAGGAAACATCGGTACACCTCATCATTAAGACTGAGCATTGTTTTTACAGGTCAGCACGAGCTACAGCTCTGTGTGATACAACAGCTGCTGACATGCGAGCATGAAAAAAACAAAAACCCGCAGCTATGATTAACCACGTCAAAAACACTTTAGAGCAATCCTGGGACGCCGCGGCGACTGAAAAGACATGTGTCAGCCGTTTAAAACGAATCTATTGTACCGAACAGAGAAAAAACAACAAAAGCGGTGCCACTGAGATCACTGACAGGCCGAGGTAGAAAGTCTTATTTAAAGCAACAGTAATGTACAGTAAGGAAACCATTAGTCCTGGGAGGGGGCTGGCAAAGGAAAGTGATAGTCTACCAGGCCCGGTGCCATTTACACAGGACCTGCATTATACTGTACAGCTAGACCCCAGTGTTTAGTTTAAGTAACACAGGAATGTCAAACATTAGCTTCAGCTCTAAGAGCTGTTGATGTTGGCCTGTATCCGGACCACTTCTGATTGCCGCTCTGCTCTCACCCGGGCCTCTCTCTTGGCTGAGTGCTCTTACAAATTTCCCTACACTCTGTCCAAGCATCGAGCCTTTTGTTTATATTGGTCTGAAAGTAGAAGTAAATTATTCTTGTCCTAAATCCTCTCCAGCTGAGAGCAATACTGGCCCAGTAGAAGGGGAACAGAAGGAGCCACGGGCCGAATGCTAAACGACGCAGCCGTGCTATCGTCTGTAACAGCAGGGCACGGCAACGTCTCCTGCCAGAGCTACCCACAGCGAAAAAGTCTGCACTGAAGAGGTAACCACATCACACATGTTTGCGTGCAAAGCAAGTATGCCATGATCTCTTTTCCAGCATAACCTTCTGGATATCCACTGGTCCACAAATACTAACAGATGTTGGAGCAATCAAGAAAAAAATAACATGACAACAATAAAGGTCCAGCAGAGTGTGTTTAGCATGTTCCTGTAATTCCTGATTGGCTGTCTATGTTGCTGCAAGTTGAACAGCGCGCTCTCTGCGTGAAGTTAGCCTCGGGTTATGCTTGAAAAACTGCCATCAGTATTAACCTCTGCCCGTGCCCTTGGAATTAATTATCATTGATATGGTCTTCATTAAAGCACACTAGTGCACAGAGGAAGGTGCCTGTTTATCAAACCGACACTGGATGTCCTGCAGCAGCGCTGAAGGGGTTAAAGCCCAGGGAGGACGCCAACCTGCCTGCAAGCCTGGGAGCTGGAAAGACAGCGTGAAGGATGGCAGCCATTGCCAGGGTCAGCTCTGACACTGCCAATGTGATGTGCTGTCGTCGAGGGCTCCTCAATCCCTCCTCCTAGCGGCTCCTTCCTGATATAGCTGCATGTCCTGATGGTTTTGTGATGCAAACAGTCACATGGCAAAATGGTTTTCTCCCTTCCCGGTGCATCCTCCTCCATCTGCTGCTGGGGCCTGGATGCCTCAGACCGCCTGCCTGTCACAGCGTGCGTGGAAATTAGCTGGGGAGGAGGTGCTCGCTTGTGCTAATTACATTTTAATCATTGGAAATGTGTTGGCAAATCAAGCCTTGATTGCCATCTTGGAGCCCAGTGCTCTTCTCTGCAGGTCGGGGATGGGGGTGGGATGACTTCTGGGGCTAGAATGCGTCTGAGCCCAGACTCGGCAAGCTGGACACCTCATCCTCCACCGCAGCTTGATATGGCGGCGTGCCTGGCCTACTGCTGGGTAGGGGCTGTGCCACATTATTCACTGGGAATAGAGAAAGACCGGGATGGTAAAATGCGGATCTGTGCCATGCATATTCTCCAATCCCCCACTCACACCTCCCATATTTATCTCTCTTTCTCTTACTCCCTTTCGCTTTTGCACCCACACATTACTAAGTCTGCCAGTCCCGCCGCTGTGAATTGAGGAACAACAAACAGAGATGAGCTAGAGGCGACTGATGAGCTCAGGTTTTGCTACACAGCAGCTACTTTGGCAAACAAAACTAGAAAACGAGACTTAGAAAAAAAGCAAAAAACAAACTGACGTAGTTAAATTTTCAGCTTTTAAATAAACACAAAATGATCAAGGTTGACAAGAACACTTTGCTCACAGAAAGCTGGTTCAGTTTTGATGAACATCTGTGAAAAGCCACGTTTCCTCCGTGATATCCAATGTTACACAACAGACTGACTCACAGTAATGAGCCCCGAAAGGACGCAACATATACGCATCCGGACCCGCATCGTGCTCAAGGGACTTCACACCCACGTGAACCTCAGATAAACTCTGGGATTACTTTACTTTAGCCGCCCGACACACATTAGTTATTACAGGTTGCCTATAAAGGACACCTATAAGTTCAGGGAGTGGAAGAAAGATTAACAAAACACGCCTCGCTGGGACGGCTCATTTAAAGAAGCCGCGTTCTGTGGCGACGAAATTGTTTCTGCAGCATCTGCTTGATGCCGAACTGCTACATGAACGTACGACGGGAAAGGAAAGTCCCAAAAGAAATCACAGGCACAGCCTGAGTGTTTCAGACCGTCTATACAGTCACATAAGGAAAGTTCTTCTTCTAGGAGCCAAGAATACTTCGTCAGGGAGGACCAGATTTCTGTCTGGACTAATATAAGCAGGTCTGATCCACATGTGCAACGCTGGCCAAATGCAGCAGGCCAACATCTGAACGCAATTTCCCTTCAAATGTAAAACTTCATCCAGAAGATATTCAGTGCGACCGCAAACTCCAGTTTCTAGTCAGGAGGACAGACGAGATAAAGGAAGGAGGGAGGCCAGAAAAATGAAGCTTTCCACAAAGTAACAACAACATTACAGCCTCTGATCTTTGCTTTCAAT